ATCCCATAGCGTACTTTTCGAGTGTTGGAGAAAAAGATTTGCTACAATCTTGAGCATCAACGTGTCTGAACCGTTTTTTTGGGTAATTCAAACTTTTTCTAATCCTAAAACCGTTAAGAATAGAGCGTTAGATGGCCCAACGTTTGCGGCTTCGGTTAAAACGGGTATTAGAGGTGTGAAATAACAAGTTGAAGTAATATTGACGGCATAAGTGTGGAACAAAGCAAGGACTCATTCTAAAATCAAAGACAAATCGAAAAAAACTGTAAAATTGGAAAACGCTTATGACGTCACAACAGGATACAAGTTGTAGAGTATAGCGAAGCACCACTGCCTGCGCAGTCATCGTTTCGTGTGTTTGATCTGCAATGACTGTCATAAGGATTTTCATTTTCTTCTAGGTCCATATTTCCTGGCGTGTTGCATCGCCCCTTGCTCGCAATTGCCTAGGACAGGGACATGCAAGCAGGCCGCAGCTTCATGGTGTTTGAGCACCTGCAGTGTCAGATGCACCTCACGTCATTCTGTCCGCTGGAGCCGCCTCACGCTCACCCTGTACGAGGTTTCAGGAGCTGGTACTCATGTATATTCGTATGCCCGAGTATGCCAAGTAACGAATGACTCCCTCGAGACCAGATGTCACGTCGCATTGCACCGCCTCCTTGCTCTAGCGGACAAAATTATGCAGGTGTTCAAATACCATGGCGCCATGGCTTGCTCAAATGGCTGGCCTAGGCAAGTTGCTGCAAGACGCCGTGAAATCTGGTCTTGAGGGAGTCATTCGTTGCTTGACATACTTGGGCGAACGAACAGCTTATGACGTTTCTCTTAGATGATAGGTTTCCAGAATTTTCTGGTCACTTTCCATAAGGACTTCATGATTTGGTTGTTCAGAATGTTGTGCTTGCTGTTTTCAAGCTTGGTCCCCTTCTCCCTTACTGTCTCAAAAGTACAGTTTCTGTGGCCTATGGAATGCAATGCTCGCTACGTGCTGCCTTCTTTCTTCTAAAAAAGTCTTTCTGCTTGCAACAGTGTCTTTTCCTCATATTTGCTAATGAATGATTTGACCATTTCGCGAAAATGCTTTGGTTAAGAAATTATCAAAAGCAGGCAGCTGCTGAGGTCTTTGCTTGGGCTTAGCTTATCACCTCGTAAATTCA